AAAGCATTGAGTAATGCTTTCCTATGGGCAGTTTGAATGCGCACGCTCATGCTCATTCGGATCTGACGTCTGCAGAGGGAGGAGAGTTTCCCAGCACCGAGGGATCCCGGCGCTGGAGAAAGGTAAGTGTCTGAAGGTATTTTAACCCCTTCAGCCCAGCAGGAACGGGGACGTGGGGGGGAATTAATGACCCTATAGTGCCAGGAAAACGAGTTTGTTTTCCTGGCACTATAGTGGTCCTTTAATAAAAACTGGATTTTAATTCAGAATGTCCCATATGGACATTACAGATTAGTTCCCTCCCCCTCTTATAATGCTATAAAATGAAGAATAATCTTAGCTGGAATCAAGCACTAGGGCCAGGCTCCCCCAAAGCATCATCCACCGTCACAGCCTCCCTCGCTTCCAATCTTTGATTGGACAGTTATCCCCAGCTCTGAGCACATGCTCTGAGCCAAATGGAGGGTAGCCAGAGGGAGGAGAAAGAGGAAACAAAAATATCAAGGAATAAAGGAAATGCCAGGAGGGTTGAATGAAAGAAGGCAGCACCGTACACACTGACATACATACTTTTTGCACAGATTTAACATTAGGCAATCTGGAACAAAGTTTTGGGATGCCTAAGTCACATGTACCAGGGGTGTAATTAGCCCAAAACACAAATGTGAAAATATCACTGTATGTGCATTGTTTCAAGCATTTCACATAAATAATTACATACATAGTTACATAGCTGAAAAGAGACTTGCGTCCAACAAGTTCAGCCTTCCTCACATTTGTTTTTTGCTGTTGATCCTAAAGAAGGCAAAAAACCCAGTTTGAAGCACTTCCAATTTTGCAACAAGCTAGCAAAAAAATTCCTTCTTGACCCCAGAATGGCAGTCAGATTTATCCTTGGATCAAGTAGTTATTACCCTACATTGAAAGATTATATCCTTGAATATTCTGTTTTTGCAAGTGTGCATCTAGTAGCTGTTTGAACATTTGTATGGACTCTGATAAAACCACTTCTTCAAGCAGAGAATTCCACATTCTTACAGTAAAAAAAACCTTTCCTTTGCCTTAGACGAAATCTTCTTTCTTCCAGTCTAAACTCATGACCTCGTGTCCTATGTAATTGTATTTTTTGTAAAACTATGAAAATAAAGATGGTCAAAAAATAAATCTATCTTGCAGCACATCAGTTGAGGACCATGGAGCAGGTTTCCTGCTTAAAGGAACATAAACATGTATTCCTGACCCTATAGGGATAAAACCACCATCTAGGCCCCCTGGCCCTCTCTTGCCTCCCTAAATATAGTAAAATCCTACTTGTATTCAAGTCTGCAGCTGTAGCCTCTGCCCCCGTCGGCCTCTGACCTGCCTGCTGTCTACAGGCATCATCATAAGCAGTGGTCCGAGCCAATTACAATGCTTCCCCATAAGATTGGCTGAGACTGTCAACAAGGCAGATTAGGGGGTAGAGCCAGCACAATTCAAATACAGCCCTGGCCAATCAGCATCTCCTCATAGAGATGAATTTAATCAATGTATTGCTATGAGGAAAGTTCAGTGTCTCCATGAAGAGGGTGGAGACAATAAATGGCAGTGCTGCTCACTATGCAGCACTGCCCCAGAAGGCACCTCTAGCAGCCATCTAAGGAGTGGCCAGTGGAGTTATCACCAGGCTGTAATGTAAACACTGCATAGATTCTACTCACCAGAACAAATAAAATAAGGTGTAGTTGTTCTGGTGACTATAGTGCCCCTTTAAGAAGAAGGTGTCTTTATATCTTTAACTCCCATTATTTCTGCCATTCGGGTTAGAGGGGTGTTGTTCCCAGCTCTATAAACATAAGAGGAAAATAAGAGGAATTTATGGGTTCTCCTGTTCACAGAAATGTTTGGGGGACCACTGTAAAACCCTTTTGAAAGCCAGTCTAGTGACCATTATTAATGGAAATATTAATGTAATACGCCAAACTCCAGTGCCGCAGTTTACCTGCCAGAAGGTGAAGATGATGCTGAAACAGAATTTGGAGATTGAGAATTTTAGATAAATGTGCTTTTGTTTTAGCCACCAATACGTAGTGGACAGTTTACCTGATAATTTTTTTTTTTAATTTTTTTTAAATGCACACACCCACAAGTGACATTGCTATGTTAAGATTGTGCTCCAACGTTTTACTTCAGGCTACTTCATTATAGCATTTTTTTCTTTCCTTCAACCTCTCTAACAGTACTATCAGGCATCTCTTGATGTTGACATATGGACCACGTACTAACAAGTTTAACAGTAACCAGTGTTTTGTCAGAGATATTGCATACTTCAAGATGATCTATACAAAACACATAGTTTTAATATTAAGTAGAAATTCACCGGCAATGCAGGAATGTTAACAGCATTTAATAGTAAAATAGGCGTTTTAATTATGTGTCCAGAAATGTACATTAAAATCCCATTATCAAATGTAATTAAACATTCTCAGAATATTTATTAAATCCCACAACCCTCCTCTCCCCCTACAAAAAAAATAAGTGAATGCAGATTTTAATACAAAGTCTTTATTTCCAATTTCAATGAGTTTAAAATAAAAAGTCAAAAATAAAAAGATCCAGCATGGTAATCGTAATTTCACATACAACGGAATTTTCTTAATCCTTGAAATAATGGCCCCACAGAGGTTTCACAGGTTAAGATCTTAAGACAGTAAAGTTAATTTTTCTAGTCCCCAAGTGAACCACCAACTTAGTGATGAATATGTAAGCTTATCTTCTGGGAAAAATGCAACTTTTTTTATAATGTAATTTATATTAGAACAATTTGTCAAAATTAAGGTCAGACAGGTTTCTTTAAATGGAGGGAAGACTGGGGAAAATGGTTTCCAAAAATTAAAATCAATAAGCACTATGTCCGCCACCACTTTTACTTAGCAGAACAGAAAAAAAACAGTATAAGTTTAGTCTTAATGATTGCACTTAAAAAGTTACGAGTGGTAGTGGAGACCACAGAACATACAGAGATCTTGAGCATGGTCTAACAGCAGTTTAGTGGACATTGAGTCTTAGCTGACTTGCTCTGCAAGCTCAGCTGGACAATATACTGTCTTAGACAAAGGCCATCACGCACATCTTACAGTCCACCTCCCCCAGACTGGCTAAGGTTGCTTATATTTTTTATTATATTATAGATATCTATCATTAAGTTTTCCAAGACATCTGTTCCCTGAACCTTGTGGTAAGAAAGTAACTCTAAAAGCACATAAGTATTACAACTAACTAGTATGGTTGAAAGATAAATACAGTGTAGCAAAACGAAGAAACAACTACATTAAATGTAAAAATGTACTAAGTGTTAAAGGATGATGAAGCATTTGTAGAATAATCCAGGCACCATAATAACTTCACTGGAAATAAGTTATTATGGTGCGAGTAGGTCCCAGAGTGCTGGCTTACCTCAAGGGTGTAAACTTTTAACAAACAGTTTAACCCCATAGTCTTGAACCTGGGCCTCTCAGCTCTGCCCAGCTACTTCCATTGCAATACAGGATTTGAATCAGGAAGCAACAAATAGGCTGAGATTAAAAGCACCCCATTAACCATCGGAATGAGAAACATATGTTTTGTGAATGGGGAGCTACTGGAAGGATGAGCGTGTCAGCTGATGTTCCCAGAGGCTCCTAGATTCAGGTCTTGGACTGCAACAGGAGTAGCTGGGCAGAGCTGAGAGCGCCGGCTCAAGACTTTAGGGTTAAAACCATCCGAGGACCTCCTTTTACCATAAAAACTTCATTCTGGTTGAGTTATGGTTCCTGAACTGTCCCTTTTAAGCTTTGGGGCATCCTTCTATAACAGAATTAAGCAACCTTCAGCACTACAGATGTTCCAGAAGGTTTACATCTCCCATATTTCTCTTACAGCAATATGTCTAGCAAGGCATCAGGGGAGATGTAGTCCACAACAGCTGGAGTATTGAAGGATGCCTACCCCAGTTGTAGAAACTGAATATATTGGTCCTTACTGGTCCTATGCCTATAGGTTGAAGGTCATAAACAATGCACATTGTAACAGAATTGGTTTGCTTTCTTTCTTTTTTTTCCTAGCAGTCTATAATATCTTCTACTCTTCTGCAAGCATGAACATAATCTTATTTTGGCTGTTACTGGAACCTGGAGCATATGATTTCACCTCAAACTGTAGTTATGGCTCAAATGTACATTATTTATAAAGGATTTACATTCACTAAAAGGAGAGGTGGCTTACAATCTGATCACCTGTCCTGCAACATACATTAGGGCTAAATATGGCTGGACAATAAATTCAGCAGAAGTAAATATAGGGCCATTGAAGTTTTTGATGAACTGGGAGGACATTTGCAGGCAACTCTGAGTTCAGCTCCTCAGCCAAGATCCCAATGGATTTAGAGACATCTCAAAACATTAAGCATTTATTTTTAAGTCTGAGCTGAAACTAGTTAGCTTTTGAGTTTGTGAAGAAATACTTTGGAAAAAAGATTAGTGGAAGACATTATGCTGTTAGGAAGCTGAGGGAGCCAGTGTTCCCAAATACACAAGGTGTGGAAAGACTGCAGATTAGTAGAGATGGCATGGAGAGCCAGACGTAGACTATTGAGACCCTCCTAGATTGTGGCACAATGAATAAAAACACAGTATTAGGTCCTTAACCCTTCCTATTAGAGGTCACAGCAAACAAAGAAAACTGCACGCTATATTTGAACACTGCAGGCTATGTCAATGATTTCTGGAAGGATTTAAGTCACATTTTAGTCAATCTCTGTGGTCCCAAAATGAACATAACAATGCAGGTACAAATATACCTACACGTGGCTTGTAGACATTTATGCAAACAAACTGGCTGTATGCCTCACAGTTAAACATAGATAATTACATTAAGTCATTTTCTTGTGGTTACAACCCAAATATGAGAATTGTTTCAGTGCATGAGGAGTCCCTGTTTTCAAGATCTCTTGTTCTGCTGGGTCCCCACTAGTTATGCCATGTTCACTCTAGCAGCTCTACATAGTTCGCAGGAAACATGCCGTAGTGGCCGTTGGGTCCATAACCACGCCACCAGCCCTCATCTATCATTTCGATATGAGTGATAAGGTCATCTGGATCAAATGAGATCTCTGTGTCATCAGCTGTAAGGTACAAAACAGAAAGATCATATTCAAGTAAAAAGCATCATCTTTTTCAACAAACAGTGAGCACCACAAAAACAGAATGCAAAAATGTAAGCTAAAATTGCATTACTGAGAATTTACAGTTTGTGTACTAAATCTTAAATCTTTTTATATAAGAGCTTTCAAGCAATTTAACCAAGTCAGGTGACTTTTGTATTGCATTATAGACTGTGTAACTAAGAGATCTGATCAGTTTGTTTAAAAAGTTGGAAATTACTATTATTTATAAACTGAAAACATTCTGCAGCGCTGTACACTAGGAAATACAAGACAAACATTTAATAAAGACAAAACATGTATCACATACGGAAACAGTAGGCGAAGAGAGCCCTGCTCAAACAAACAATCAAAGGGATGTCACTGTTTTAGCTAAATAACTGCAAAGACTAAGGAGCATTCCTTTCGGATTCCTTAGGGACTTTATATTAAATACTACAGCAAAGTTCTGAAAATGAAGCAATCTTTACAGAAACCAATGAAATGCTCTGAAAAAAATTACTCTTTTAGATTCTCAAAATTGCTCTTTATACATAACCTTCAAATCTACCGGTACTGCAGAATATATTTCAATGTTTAATAAAACAAAACATTATTAAAATAGTTTTTCTACCACCCCAACATGATGGCCAGGAAAACATTTTTTTTTTAGAACTCAGATTGGCTTTTGAGTTGTTTATTATGAGACTTTGGCATTAGAGAGAGAAAGAAGCTGTGGCCTAAACAAACAAACAGACATTGTAGAACATTGAATGGTCTGTTGGTTTTGTATTGAGTGTCACATTCACACTGAAAAGAATCTCTTCTCCTTCTTCAATAAGCTAGCCAATTAACACTTTTCTGCTCTTAAGTGTAAGAAAATCTGCCCTGTTCTGCCCACTAAGCAGATGTCTTGTATATATTTTCTGATTCAGCTAAAATGTAAAAAAAGGATTGCTTCTATTACTTATAGTTGACACAAGGGTATGCACATGCCATTTTCCTTGATTTTGCAAAGGCCCTTGACACAGTAGACCACGACATTCTACTGCACAAACTAAAAACCTCAGGTATTGGTGATTGTCCGCTAACCTGGTTTCGATCATATGTATCGGATCGCTCGCAATATGTGTCCATTTCTGACAGCGACTCCTTCCTGTCCATTTCTGACAGCAACTCCTTCCCACCCCCAGTAACGTGTGGTGTTCCCCAAAGTTCCATTCTCAGCCTCCTACTATTCACATTATTTATAAATGATCTGCCAATCCTCAAATGTACACATGTATGCAGACGACACAGTAATCTATGCAAGCAAATCCAATCTACTGCAGCTTGAGGCTGTGCCCAAGACCAGTTTACTGAGGTAGAAAAGTGGATCACAAAAAACACACTCTTCCTAACCACTGACAAAACTGTCACAATGATCTTTGGAACAGTACCTAAATTACACAATTCCCACCTATCCATCAAAACTAATTCAAATAGCACACTGACCGCAGTCCACTCTTTCAAATACTTGGGTATGTTGTTAGACCCCAATCTATCTTTTGGCCTCCACACTGGCATCTAAACTTTATCCAAAACTAGTTTAAGAGCTTTTCTGGTAAGCTCCCGCCCTACCTGAGCAGAATGCTCTCCTCAGCTGTTCCAACCTCTTATAACCTCCGATCCAGTACCAGCACTTTATTTAGTCTACCTCAATACAAAAAGAAAGCAGCCTGATCCTCCTTCTCCTACAGAGTGCCGCAATTGTGGAACGACCTCCCACACACACTCAAATCTTCCCCAAGCCTAAAGTCCTTTAAGAGATCCCTCTCTACATACTTCAAAACAGAATGCACCTGTCATGGTTGATTATATATTTCCTACCTGTTCTATGTTAAATTTTGTATGTATTGTGTATTAATATTGTTTTTTGTATTTAATTATACCCTAATGTATTGATGCAATATTTTGTAGACCCAGGACATCCTTGAAAATGAAAGAAATCTTAATGTAGCTTTCTTGGTAAAATATTTCATAAATAATAAATAATTAACAAAAAAGACGTGGTTTTGCAAAACAACTTGCTTAAAAAGCATAATTAAAGAGACACTTCAAACACCATAACAACTTCAGCTTAACAAATCTGTTTATTGTATAGGTAATGCCACAGTATCACTGATCTCGAGTCATATACAGATTTTAAAAATGTACGCACACAAAAAAGCAGCATATTTTGTGTACACACATTATTCCCTGATTTGTATTTTGTATAAATTTTGGTCTTTATGATAGCACCACTGCTAAATGCATGTTCTGGGTATGCTACCAATTTCCTTTTTTCTATTTAGGACTTAAATTACTGTTTATGCAGCCTTATCCTATCTACATACTTCCTATAAAAGCTCTATTTTTAAAAGTTCACTTATTGCACAATATATTTCATTTTGAAGTTATATCCGGCTTCGTTAATCATTCACTGGTGACCCTTAATTGGGCTGTGAACTTGGACAATAGCAACATTCAACTCTTTCAGGCAATGAATTGATTTGCACTACACAATGACAACAGCAACTTCTAATTGGTCTCAAATGATGGCCTACAAAAGGGACAAGCATTTTATGTTGACACCCCTGCATTGGTTGGCTTGGCAAGCAGACATATTAAGGAAAGTGGTAGAAAAAAAACAAAACACATTGTTGTACAAAGGGTTGTTAAATAAGATTGTGAGATATAGTGAGTAGGCTAGCCTGGGTAAAAGGCCTGTTATACAGGGCACATTTTATTTAAATCAGGATTTAAAGGGTTACGGCAAGGACCATGACCACTTCAGTTATTTGAAGTGGTCATTGTGCCGGTAGTTTGTATGTACAGCTCTGCAGAAGCCAGATGTCATCACTGGCTATAGAGGAGCCCAGCAGGAACCAAGGTAAGAGGGCAAACCTTTATAGTGATGATACCAGGAGTGAAATATGGAAAAGGTGCTCTGTGCTATAAGGCGCTTAAATAAGATAAAGTGCTATCAAATGTAGCAGCTTCCACACATAAAATAGGAACTCCCCAATCATACTACAATCTAATACAAAAACCACTATTAAACAAACAAATGATAATAGTGTAAAGTGTGTAGTGCTAAAAAGTGGTTGACACTTACCCCTAAAAGTTAGGGGCTATAAAGGTGGAGAGAATAACTGTAGGGAATAATGGAAATAAAATATAGTGTAATACAGTAATGGCCAGTGGTAATATTAGCTCATAATAGGAAGCACTCACGTGGTTTAGAGCCTATTTAGGACTGGCTCTAATCACATCCACTTTTGTGTACTCTGGGTGACACACACCCTATGGATCCATATTCAGCATTAACCTCAATAAATGGAAATAAAATAGAAACAGGGAAACTTGCCCTGGTGTAGAAATCCTCAGTAAAACAAGGTACAGATAGAATATAGGTTGCTTCTCACCTTGTCAAGAGCCTATGACTTGGCTCTGAGTGTACAGATGAGCGAGTCTTATTTAGGGTGACACTGCCCTTCTTTTCAACAGGATAGATGGTCCACCAGATAGTATGCTATAGTATATTTCCCATTTATTTGTCATTTTAAAAATAAAAACAGTTAAATACATACAGACTACTGGTATATAGTCGTCCAATTGGCCTGCTTCCTATTATGATCTAATATTACCACTGGTCATTACTGTATTACACTATATTTTATTTCCATTATTCCCTACAGTTATTATCTGCAACTTTTAAATCCACTAACTTTTAGGGGTAAGTGTCAACCACTTTTTAGCGCTACACACTTTACACTATGATACCAGGAGTATCTTGGCCCTTTGTTTTGCAGTGAGCTGCAGCGGTTATAATGTTTAGAGTAACCCGTTAAATCAGTAAGGCTCAATTTCAATAAAGATTTTTAAATGTAAAGATTCATTATTGCTGATTGTTATAATTTTTAATATTTGAAACTAGATGACGACTACATATTTAAAATAACTTTTCATATTAGTTTACAAGTTAGATCAGAATTGATTTTGCTACATGCAATAATTTCATTATTATCTATATATTTTTAATTACAAGTTAAACTATCTCTAGTTCATTAGGTCAATCGTTTATTTTTGGAGAACAATTTAAAGAGACACTCTGTTCACCATAAGAACTATTCTTGGATGGTTTAATCCCAAAGGCTGCCTCCAGGTCAGGAGTGCCGCCAGGCAGGGACACCGCTGATTGTCTAGGGCAGGGGTAGGCAACCTACGGCACTAGTGCCATGCACGGCACTCAAGGTTTCTTTGCACGGCACTCAAGGCTGCTAGAGCCAAACGCACTCTAGCCTATCAGGAGTCCCAGTAAAACTTCAGATATCTGCTAATACGAAGAGGTGGTGAAGGACAAACCTCAATTTATGCATTGCAGCACATAGAGGAAGTGATCTCAGATCACTTCCTCCCAGCACTTGTGACTGGGAATCCACACTGTAGTAGAGCAGCCCTCGACAGCTATCACAGCTCCTGTCCTTGACCTGTGCCTGGGCAGCCTGGTGCCCACTGGAACCCAGGGAACCCACACACACTGCTAGATATACACAGAAATGTAGAATAACCCTCCCCTCATACAAATAATATGAACAGCCCACACACACACACACACACACACACACACACACACACACACACACAACACACAATACCCACCAACCCAACACCACTAACAATATACATACATGCACACAACTCCTTATCCACTATCTCGTGGTATAAAAATATTTAGGGTTTATTCGGTAGGTGAAAATCCTAATCACTGGTCTTATGACATACATTAAGACTCGCTACAGCCAGAATCAGAAGATGGAACCTGCAATATTTATTTTTTAAATCATATCAATACAAAGCAAGATAAATTCTAACTTTATTTTTATTAAAAAACTGTGTGCAGCGGACTCTGGGTAACCCAACTGGTTACCTCTGCTAATTCCTCCTCTCAGCCTGACTGGAACCTTTAAAACACTTAAGCATCCATTCCCCGAGTAACTAGACGAGACATAGTTCTGGGAGTCAACTCTTTTATTCTGGTCACCCACGGCTTTTATGCACAGACCCCTAACATGGGGTCTACAACACAAAATTACAGGGTTTTCCTTCGCAGGGTCTTTTGTGCCTGAGAGATAATTTTGTGAGAAAACTACAACTCAATTATCACTCAGGTACAGAAAAACCTACACAACATATAGGATAACCCAAAAGTACCCCCATTATAACCAGGAACCCCACAAAAGTTATATCCCCAGATAGCTCTGCTCTGAGTGTACAACTTGGCCAAATCTCACTCAGATCCATTTGGCAGAACTGTATTGCCACCGGGATAAAGTTTTGACCGACCGGACACGAGGTGGTGGCCCAGAACAGTTCTAGGGACTTAGGTGCCCCAATCGGTCTTCATTCGGGGGTTCATGTACGAAAACCATACAAGGAGCGAATGCTCCCCCCATATGGTAGTCCCCATCTCCCGAACATCGTTCGCATAGTTGGTCGGGAAGTAGGACGGGCAGCGCTATAATATTTACCATGGTTCGTGCGAGCGCCTAACCGAAAAGGGGTCCAGGCACTCAACGACCAAGTACCGCTGCCCACGTTTGGGAAACAAAATGTCCGCCACTCTTTTGCCGAACACGTGTATTCGGTTACACAAAATGCTTCCAAGGGGAAGCATTCATTAATTACTTCCCTTGCGGTTTTGCACTTAAGTTGCTGGTGTGAACGTTCTAATGGGGTACTGGGGTGGTTCTCGTTTGGGAGTCGAATGCAAAGTGTTCGGATACCATAACTCCCGAACGGATAAACCATACACTGTAATATGTTCCTGTAATGCTTTGATACTAGTCACAACTCAATTGAGGTTGCCATAAAATAATTAATACACTCAGATTTAACTGCTATACACCATCAGATTTATTCACTAAAATAAGAATTGTAATATTAATTCAATGTGAATTTCAAATTGAAAGCCAAAATAGCAGAACTGAAAACATAACTGACTTAGAGAATATTTCCAGTTTGCTATTTTTACCTTGTATTGGAAATTCACTTTCAATTCTCACTTTAGTGAATAACCCTGTTTGACATATTAAGATATTTGTGAGGATACATGGGACTTGCCTCCCCTTTATAAGGCAGGATTTTCAAACTATAAAATGGTTACTACACGTTACATGTACTATGGGATTGCTTCCAGCCCATCCAGGTATAAACGTTACTTGTGTTAAGATGTTTGGGACATAGGGTGGATACATGCAGGGAAAATCTCTTTCATGCTCTTACCTAGCTAGGTGGTATCGTTTCACAGAGGAATGACGCGAGCTTGGCCTGTATGACAGTGAAGCCCAGAAATAAGGAAGGCATCTAGTAACTTCTATTATGGCTTAGGATAGCCGACAACACCTCCCACTGGGCATATACCACAGTTATGAAAGAGAATGTGCACCAACTGGACACAAGATGGCACCAAAGCACTGTTAGTAAAATAAGTGAATAACCAGAAATATGCTGATGCAACTGATGAAAATGTGGCAATGAGATGGGACAGCATTGGCTTTCCCACTTCACTGCCTGACAGACAGGATGATTGTAACATGGCCATTTTGTGCAGTTTAAAAAAACAAGAACAAATCCACTCCACCCTCCCCCCTTTCCCCCCCCCATTCATTACCCAGGATACATACATCAGACAGATTATTTATAGCTAAAATACTGGAAGAGCAATGTTTTTTTCAATTAATTTCATCTCAACAAACATGTGGCAAATGAGATTCATTGAAACCCTTAAAGAACACATACAAGACTCATATGAACCTTTTAATAATATGTGTAGCCTTTGGTAGTGGTCTGCAAGCACCCAGGACCTCTATCAGGGACAGCAATGGGATTATATTGTCCCATAATACTAAAGGGTGCCTGTTCTCTCTCTGTAGAAGGGTTACATTCCATCAGATAATTCTAGGTCTGGACTGAAGAGGGGCATCATGATATATCCCACTTGTTAAACCAACTAGGGCCTTCTGAAAAAAAAACTAATTCTGAAATCACATTTAACGGAACATTTCTGCTACCTAGCAAAATAAAATTACAATTACAGTTCCCAATTGGGACAATGGAATAGTTGACTGGTCCCTTTCCAGCTGTTACATTAGAACTCCAATGACCTTCAGCCAGCCTATACATTCCCAGCCATCTTATGCCACAGATTTCCTATTTACTAAGTTCCAAGCAGGGACATCAGTGTCATTATTTCTTTTCTTCAATTACTTGCTCTGGAGACTTGAAAGACATGCTCTCACAATGCAACAATCAACTAATTTAGAGAACTGATGCAGTATTGTATGGCTCCAGCTGCACCCACTATACTCTCATTACTTTGATACCCAGCTGCTGATTAAATCACACGATGTACATTAATTAAAGTTTTTACCGGACTTTCTTTGCCATATGAAACTAGAGAGAGAATCTGCCTCTTTCTGCACTATGGCCAGTTAGCTTGCTTTCACAAGACAATACTTTTAAAGGTACACTCCAGGTTAGAGCGGACATTCTTTAGAAGAAAATGGAAATATGCTCTTATTAGGAATTCAGAAAAAAAGTCAATAAGCCAGAAGCATATTCAGTTATTGCCTTATCCATTATTTCTTTTGAGAATGAGTGATACATATTAGTTGAAGGAATTGCAACCATTTGTACTAGACTGCTCTACTCTTAAAGGACCACTATAGTGCCAGGAAAACATACTCGTTTTCCTGGCACTATAGTGCCCTGAGGGTGGCCCCACCCTCAGGGTCCCCCTCCCGCGGGCTCTATGGGGTGGAAGGGGTTAAATTTACCGCTTTCTCCAGCACCGGGCGGGGAGCTCTCCTCCTCCTCCTCTACGCCTCCTCGGCTGAATGGGCATGTGCGGCAAGAGCCGTGCGCGCATTCAGCCAGTCTCATAGGAAAGCATTCACAATGCTTTCCTATGGACGCTGGCGTCTTCTCACTGTGATTTTCACAGTGAGAAGTACGAAAGCGCCTCTAGCGGCTGTCAATGAGACAACCACTAGAGGCTGGATTAACCCTAATATAAACATAAAAGTTCCTCTGAAACTGCTATGTTTATAGAAAAAAGGGTTAATCCTGGCTGGACCTGGCACCCAGACCACTTTATTAAGCTGAAGTGGTCTGGGTGCCTATAGTGGTCCTTTAAGTAAATCACACTAACAGGAAGATGGGGTGTTCTGAAGATTACACAACAGATTTAATTAATCCAGGGCCAGTTAATGTGGTGGCTAATAATCTGACATTCTCTGCATTAAATTTGAGATGATGTTTATTTGCCAGCAGCCAGTCCAGAAAGAACTTCCAAACACTTATGATATGAATTAGGATATAACCATAAATGCTGTCTAGATGAGAAAATGGAGATTAAGATAAGGGTCAAGTAAAATACAGGGCATCTGTTCAGATTTAATGCAAAGCAACCAGACTCATTATTGAGGGATTTACATGAACATTCGTGACATCTAAATTCTTATCTGTACATTTGCAAAAATGAATAGCTACATTTAAAATTTGGTCTCAAAAACAACAGAAATTCACTGAGTATTCACTTTACAGAAATGATGAGATGGTTCATTTAGTTTTTTTTTACTTTTCATAGACTGTGCAGGTCCAGAAGCCAAGCCCTCTGCTTTTAATGCACTACACTCTATGTAATGTTTGCTAAGGCTCACAAAACATGATAAGATATGAGATTATCCAACATGTTAGGGAAATGTCTCATATTTCTACACATCTAGATTCATTTACTTATTTTCAGTGGTTTTTAAAATCTATTCTAACCACATCTGCATTGAGAACATATTACAATTATTTCCTTGGTCAAAAAAGACTTATTCCTACTACTGAGCAAGCTGTAAAATGGGTAGAGACAGGGCCGGACTGGGAATTAAAAGCAGCCCTGAAAAAAAAATTATTTACCAGCCCCATAATGCGTCGCGCCAGCATAGTGTGCAGATACAGAGTTAGAAGAGATAACTTAAAATTAAAAATTATTACTCCAACGTGAAAAAAAGCACTCCTAGGCTTCACAAAAAACAAGAGTGCAGATTTATTTTAAGCAGAAGTGCCTTTGCATATAACCAATGTTTCAGTCCAACTACCTTGACATAGTATGGAAAGCTTGGTAATGGGACTAAAATGGTGAATGTATGTAGGGCACAACTGTAAAAAATTACGTTATCTTATTATTTTGAAGTTCTGTGGGTGCGCTCTTCACTTTAACCCCTTCAGGATGGAGTCAATAGTGCAAGTTCTGATCAAAACGAAACAAACAAAAACTGTAATTTGCGCTATATGCCTGTTCAACCGTAATTCACCGCGGTCACATTAAGTGCATCCACACTTATTATATATAATTTTGTTCAGGAGAAACAGGGCTTTAATTTATCATTAACTATTCATATATGGAACAGAATTTATTATGAATAAAATTTAAACTAATGTGAGAAAATAAGATTTCTTTTTTTTTAATTTGTATTTCCGTCTGACATTTTAGCTGTGAATGTCATAATACTGTTAGGTTTTACTGCAAAAAAATGCACATATTTGTAATCAGCAAATGTCTCACAAGTACAACAGTACCCCCCATTAACAGGTTTTATGATGTTTTGGAAAGTTACAGGGTCAAATATAGAACATTCCATTTTCAAATTGAAATTTGCCAGATTAGTAATGTTACCTTTGAGACGGTGTGGTAGCCCAGGAATGAGAATTACCCCCATAATGGCATACCATTTGAAAAAGTAGAAAACCCAAGGTATTGAAAGTGGGGTATGTTTAGTCTTTTTTAGTAGCCACTTAGTCACAAACACTGACATTTCAGACAGTCCCCCTGTTGGCAGATCCACAGCCAGCTATAGAGGGCCATCTGATCGCTCTTTGAGAGCGATCACATGGCCCCCGGGGGCCTGATTTGCCGGGGGAGGGCTACCTGGGCTGTGAGTCAACCCTCCAGAAGAGGCTCGCCGGGAAGGTGAGTATACCGGGCGCTCCAGGGGCTGAAAGCAGTTACGGCGTTCTATGCCGCCGCAACGGCTTTAAAGCCCATTTAATGCGGGACGGCATAGAACACCGTAACGGCGTTAAGGGGTTAAATATGTTATTGTGCTGGAGTATGCAACTAGCAACAAGACTGGGCCAATATCTGCTCATTAGATATGGTACATATTAATGACATTTCTCTGTGTATTATGCATATATAAATGTACATTAATATATGTGTAAATATAATAGGCATATAAATATAAATACATACATATATACACACACATACCAGTGGCGGATCCAGAGCCTGATCTCGGGTGGGGCATTTATAGATTATTTAAAGAAATAATCCATGAACAATAACCACTACTGCTCTGTGTAGTGGTTATGGTGCCAGGACCCGCTCCCAGAGTAAGTAGTCAAACCGTTTAAGAACAGTTTGACAACTTACCTGGAGTCTGCTGGGATATGGGGCTGTAGTAGGGTATAGGAGCAGTGGTGCAATGTGTGTGAAAGGTTCAGTGTGACGGGTGTGTGGGGCAATGTGTGTGTATGGGGGGGCCTCGCCGGTCTGGCGGCACTCCTAATGCTGAGGACTGAAGAAGGAGGGAGCAGGTCTCTCTACCATGCTCCCTTGCGGTTCCCACAATTCCCAGCACTGTATGCTGTATGCTGTGCTGGGAATTGTGGGAACCGCGAGGGAGCATGGTAGAAAGACATGCTCTCTCCTCCTTCAGTCCTCAGCATTAGGAGTGCTGCCGGACCGGCGAGGCTGCCACCCGGCCACTCCAGCCTGGAATGCAGCTGGCCCCCTCTGAGTGTGCCACCAGACCGGCCAACCGGTCTGCACAGCCCCCAGATGCCGCGGCCCACCGGGAATTTTCCCGGTATCCCGGTGGGCCAGTCCGGCCCTGGGTAGAGACATTTGCTTATCAGCTCAAACACAGATATGTACAGCATATTAGTACAGGGCTTGATAAATTTACTTGGGATCTAGCAGTCAGCTAAAAAATGTAGGAGCCAATTTGCTTTTTAACTAACAAAGCTTCATATTCAGCGACAAAAATACAATTCTTAAAGCGACACTATAGTCACTAGAACCACTGCGCCTTAATGTAGTAGTTATGGTGTCTATGGCCTGTACCCTCAGGATTTTCAATGTACACACTGCCTTTTCAGAGCAAAAACTCAAACGGCCACTAGAGGTGCATCCTAGTCCAGTGCTACACAGTGTGCAGTATCTATGCTCAGTGTCTCCATGTTTTGCATAGAGACACTGAATGTTCCCCATAGAGATGCAAAGTCATAAATGCATCTCTATGAGGAGATACAGATTAGTGCATGCGTTATAGCCTCCCAATGCCTTCCCATAGCTTGGCTGATATCACCAAGATTGATCATAAAAGCCATGGAGGCTGGTCCTCCATGGCGAGACCGTCAAGAGGGTAAAATAACCTTTCCCATGTAATAATAGGATTGGGAGTGAAACCAGAGCTTATCCCTAATCAATAAAAAAAATTAATAAATTGCTCGACTGGTTTCCCACAGATACAATACAAAGTTTAAAATGAATGGAAACTTTGTATGCAATTAAAAGATTATTGTGACAGCTAAAGCAGCTAACCAACTTGCATACACTTATTCAACTAGTTGCTGTGCTAATGATTCCTCTGACACTACTGGGTAAAAGATCACAACAGAAAGCCACTAGATAAAGGAGTACTTGCATTGCTGTAGAAAAGAGTAAAATACTAGGAAACCCGAAATGTTTCTTTAGAGAGGAAAAGTGCGTGAACGGTACTAATTAAAAAGCACCTTATTGAAGTTATTACTCTACATTCTAAACTAGTCCTGAGTCCTCAACACGGACCTCCTGTTCTAAAAAGCCCTAATACTGCCTTATATTTGTGCACAAATATTTTTTAAGGAAGCTTGCCCTAAAGTCCCATGTATCACATTATCCAAATGAAATAAGGCAAAATAAAATGCGAGCCGGTTAAAAAAAAAACCAAGTGCTATTAAATTAACATGGAGCCAACGCACGTTTTGTCCCACTGCAGGTCGGGCTACGCCAGGCACCATAAAAGTATAGTAATGTTTATTATGGCTGGTTCTCTATTATAACAAGTGTTTAATGGGAGTTAAATAGTATTATATTCTGGAATAGATGTATTTTTGAAATAGTATTTAGTGTGTGTTCTTCTTGCAGCTATTTTAGCCTGTTATCAAAGAAAAACAAATGGATTTTAAACTCAGAGATGAAGGACTAATCTTGTGCTGCTCAGTAAGTAATGCAATTGTTCTGGCAATCAGCCCAGAAAATACAAGAATGGAAAATGAACTAAAACAAAAATGGAACAAAATGAGGCCAGATGAGTACTGCTTCAAATAACTATAAAAACGTAGAGTCAGGAACTGGCATGGCAGAGGAGTAGGCAAATGTTATAGACAGCCAGATGGATTTACCTATAATCATTCGATCATTTGTTTGAATGACTAGCAAAATGGCAAAACAGCCATGTTGGGAAGAAAACTCTGCAAATCAGCAATTCAGAGAAAGTATCATCTTTACTAAATATCTGGTCTGGCAGACTAATTTAGCAACAAACCACTCACGCCATTACTCTGTTGTAATCCTTTCTCGAAGTAAAAAGATATGCTCCATGCAATATCTTTTTGTCTAGCTGTTTTGCATCACAAGCAATAACAGACACAAACAAAATGTATTCTCGGCTATTCAGTGTCAACAAAAGTTCATTTCAATAAAGAAAGTAACTTATTATTGTGGTATGTTACTTCTTGCGTGAAAGCAGGTTCTACAGAGGTGCAGAATACAAATTTCTTTAAGGAGTCATACCCAGGCAACCCATGAGATGAGTCAGATCAGTGAAAGAGGCAACTAAAACAGGGCCATTCCAATTGGTCCCTGATATACTCAAGCAGCCACAGCTATACTTACAGCTTTTGGTCTTTTCTCCCATCACCCATCATCAACAGCAAGTGGAAATTTGGTGCTCTTGATAACATACATGCAAATATGTCAGCCTCCAAACCTCCCTCCTATAGGCCTCTCTCGCTCGGAATTCTGATCTCTATAAACTTTCAATTCACTCTTTCCTTTACACATTCCATAAATAAGTACTCACCGGCCTGGTAGTCATAAAGTGCTCGAGCACACAGGCCCCTGTCTTCCTCTACTCCAGATTCATACACTGGTTCCTCCTGATGCTCCTGAGACAGCAGAAAAGCAAACAACTTAACAACAGTGTAGTGTCTTATCCATAAACACACCTTATATTATTAGTGATCTGTTGAGAAGAAGAATAACAAATTTTACTGTCACTTGCCTGGGGTGGTGCTTCATATACATTGGTCTCAACAGGTGGCTCCTGATATAGTTCTTCCTCTGGCTGAGGCTGGGGTGAAGGGCTGCGTTCTGGGGAGAAAAATATGATGAAATTAAATACCAGCGATTTTGGCAGTTGTAAATGACCCACAAATGAGTAGCCATAAGTTAACTACGCCATTTTAGGGGTGGCAACGTGCAAACAGCATATTGCCATATCCAGTGTTCTCTGTACCTTTCACAGGGATAATGGGTGCTGGTGGATGTGAGACAGGGGGCACAGGAGAATCTGGAGGTGTCTGATGAGCATGAGATACAGGGAGTACAGGAGGGTCCTGGACACGATGTACAGGGGATGATGGAGGAGACTCGGGATGACTGGTTGACTTCTGCAAGAAAGGACTGCGCAGTCGCCCTGGAGACAGACAGTTACATTTTGAGACATCACTAAGAGACAAACATCATGAAAAGAGACACAGAGAAGCAGACCTGGAAACAACCATTGTTCACTGGGTGGACATTGAACACTACATCGGCCACCCAAAACGGTTATTCTCACCTGGCTGAGTATTCACAGGAGCAGGGACTGAACGCTCTTTCTGAAGAAACATCTCACGTGCGTTAAAAGAGCCTTGAGAATCAGTCTTCTGGAACAGAACAAACAGAGCAGGTTTACAACCATTGTGCAATGCAGCCACTGACTCCAACTATTTATTCTAAACAAATACTCACCCTCTGAGGTTTCTCTGAATCCTGCTGCTGCTTTCTGCAGGGCAAATAATAGTTAAAATATAACCTCCAGATCTTTTTTACAGTATCAGATCCTTCTGACTTATACTCAAACATTCCACATGGTGCCAATCAATAGAAACACAATTAACACTTCTCTGTTACACAGCAATCTTACCTTTCCTATTATTGGTGTTCTTAAAACTGTTACACTCCTATCCATTTCCTTACCTTTTTTGTTTATATCAATAATGTTTATTGCAATATTTTCCATATTTAAATAACACACACAGGAGTTCCATATAGCTTGTTCATCTTATTAACTCATATACACATATGACATAAATTCAAACATACACCATGTATACCTGGATAGACGCAAGATATTCCACATTCATAATATACAAGAAAGAAAAACTATTTTTATTAAAAGTTACTTTCAATAATACTTTGCCAATTTTTGAGACTATTGCTTTCTTGTCTTGCCTTAACACTTGTCCAAAACAGTCTGTGTTCCATACTGCATCTGTTCTCTCAACTGTGGCCACTGAATATCATCTGTCTTACCCCATTTTCTAGCTATTAATATTATAGCAGCAACAAAAACATGAAATATCAGCAGGGACTGTTTTTTATTTAACCTCGGCCATTTTAGATGCAATAACACAATTTCAGGTTTCATCTCAATAACATTACCAAGTGAATGTAATTTTTCAAAAACTAATTCCCACATCTTTTTAATAATATTACACTTAGACCAAATGTGAAGATAACCCCCCTCTGTTCTCCCACATCTCCAACATTTAGAACTAGAAGCATGTGAAAATCTTGCCAACCTGTTAAGAACATAATACCAAAATTGTATAAATTTGACTTGCTTTTCCAGAATCTTAGTACAGTTAATTGATTCATTATATCTTTTTAATGCCTCATACCAATCCGTTGGATTGAATTCCATCTGCAACATTTTACCCTGATTTCCTGATGACTATTATCATATTTTAAACTTAAACTATAAGCTTTAGGCATTATTTTTGTTACTTTATGTCTTCCAAATGTGTCTTCTAATTTTTTCATCACAATATTATTTTCCTTATAAATAATATAAAAGCTTCCAAAAAATGTTCAACCCTTAAATATGGGAACATTTCTCTGTTATTCAATCCAAATTATTGTACTAGCTATGGAAAATTCTCGATTACCTAGAAACAATTGTCTAATATTATATGTTCATGCTTTTCTCCAAGCTTCTAAATTTAAGTCTTGTACATTAGACTTTATAATGTTAATGTAATGCAAATGTTTCTCAATCTTGTACCATATTTCAGATTCTATATTTGGTTCTTGCGTATATATATATATATATATATATATGACCTATAATATTAGCTTGATAATCTTTAATCGAAGGAAACCCAAGGCCACCTTTTTTAAATGGATAAGGTCAATCCATGTTTTTTTTATTTCACCACACAAAAACTTTAAAAACTAGTATGAAGCATATTAAGCCAACTTGCTGGTATTTCCAATGGTATATGTCAGAAAAGATATCACCATTTGTGCAGGATATTTGCCTTTATCGTACCCAACCAAGACAACATCCCCCTTTTCCATCCACTTAGTAAGTAATTAGTCTGTTTCAACATATCTAGAAAATTATTTCTCATTACATTTTCAATGTTAGGGGAAATTTTGATCCCAAGATAGTTAATTTATTTTTTCATCCAAACAAAGCTGTATTTTTATTTTGGGATGTTTTCTGTTTCCAAGTTTATTTTTATGGGTATTACTGTTGATTTATTAATATTTATTTTATAGTTAGATACATTAGAATATATTTACACTTCCTTTAATAAAGCTGGTACCGACATTAATGGGTCATCCAACGTCAACATGACATTGCCCGCATACATGCAGACCATATGTCCCTCTTGAGCAATGGGAATGCCACTTATTTCCTTATTTAGTCTAATCTTTTGAGCTAAAATGTCTATAGTTAGAATATAGATTAGTGGTGAATATAGATTTGTAAGGTTTCCTTACCTTTGAGCATCTATCTCTCCTGCTTTTTCTCTGAATCTCTTCTCTCTCACTTCAGCCTCTCTCTGTTCCCTATCTTTACGTTCTCTCTCCAGTCGTTCCCTCTCTACATTTGATTTCCGCTGTTCCTCAAGTTTTCGCTCCTCCTCATCTTTCTGTGCAGTGAGAAAGGACAGAGATATGTACGTGGAATGGATGGACACAAGTTTGGAGCAACTCCAAACACATCACATTTATTTCATATGCATTTTCATGAAACGGAGACTTAATAAGGGTAAATGTTAGGCCAAAATATCTGAGCTAGTAAAATTAAATTAGCTAAGCTGGATATTTTTTCCACTTAAGCTATTTGGGCGTACAAATTTTCGGTTGAGTGAATACAGCCTTAAGTGTTTGGATGGTGTTGGTGTTCCTATACAACATATGTCTTTAACAGCGCATGACATAATGACAAACATATTTTACCTCAGCCTTGGCCCAGAAATTCTCTTTGCCAACCCGTTTAATCTCTGACATCGCATTTGTTTTCTGGTAAACAGAACCCTGTGTAAAGAAAGAGCAAATATATCAGTGTCCCACTGGATTTTCACAGCACTTCCAGTTGACATCAGATTATATGAGAGTGACAGAACCGTAGTTTCCGACTTAAAGCTGAGGTTACACTCCCTGGTTTTTCCCCTGTCCTTTACCGGGCACTGCTCTGAAGAGTGCCCTCACTTCAACCCGTGAGCCTTGCAAGGAAAGCAGCGAGTCTCCTAGAGTCACTCTGGCTGGCCACATAGAACTCTCCATCGGATTGTAAATCAGGCACGGATGGTAAAAACTTTAACTGGGTGGTGATTCAACACTATGAGTGCGTCAAGAGTGCTTTTTTGATCGAATGAGGTGAAGGAAGAGAACTGTCCGTGCATATAAGTCATGTGGGGTTGATTTGTGCCATTCCGTGTTATGGGGTATATTGTAGGCTTTATCAGCTTGATAAAGACCTGGGTATACAAAACGTTGCAGTGTCCAATAAAGCGTCTCGATTCATCGATTCATAGTGAGTGGCTAAGATTTTTATTTTTATGCTTATTCTTATGGGATATGCTGACCCATACTCAGCTATCACCCTGTGGTTTTTATGACTGAGTGCAGTCCTCCCATTTCTCTTTGTTATCTCACAGACTTAGAGACGCTAGGGTGGGATTTACATTGTTCAAGCCATGAACTATCTGTTGGGGCTGTGTGTATAAAAGTGTGGCTTGTTTTCCATAAACTAGTTCTTATTCACCCTTCACTATGCCTCTGGTTAGTGTTTGGATGAGAAAACTAGAGTCTTTCCAAGTATACAGTGCTTAAAGAGAGTGTCCTTTGATGGAGACACTCAAGCTAATGCTGAGCTGCGTTACAATGAGCGACAAGGAATAACTGAAGTAAAGCTAACACTAAATTAAGAAAATTCATAAATGGTTTGTTAATAATCTCTGTATTATAAGTTGCTATAATATTTAACCTCTGATTTTGTGTAATTTAGGCATTAAAAAAAAAAAACCACAGCTTTGAATAGGGGAAGGGTCCAATAAGAATACAGAGTTTCATGGTTGGAATGCAACAATTCAGTTAGCAGAAGAAAGGAAAAAATAAAAAAAACCACACCACCACTTCTTTTTCCTGTATAGAACAGTAGAGAGTTGCTTTTTTTCTGGCATCCTTTTTAAAGGAAATTCTATATTTGAGGTCAAAACAGCCAAAATGCAAACATAGCTAACTTGGAGATTGTTACCACTTCAGCTATTTTGGCTAAAATTTTAAATGCCCTGGTCAGTTCCTCACAATTCCCAGTTTAGCAAATATCCCTGCCAAAAAAGGGAAAAAAAACAAAAACATCTTGCAAGCGTACTCTTTTAGTTATTTAGACCTTCACATAATCCCGGAGGCCAAAAGGTAATGTTTCTCTAATGAAGGAATCCTAGAGTCCACAACCATTTTCACTACATTTGTCTTGATTATTACAGAAACACGAAGTGAAATCAGCTTAGTGCACATTATCTTCTCTAAGAGACATTGCGCATCCCTATATTCTCCATTCAAGGTTCAGAGTCACACTCCTCATCCCCTCTTGGTACTGTAAATATGATCCAGATCACCCTGCTCTTTCCTCCAGGTACCAGGCATCCTGCCTTCTCCCTGAAATCCCCTCCCATTTCTTAATACATACTGTATACACTTTTCACCATACTCTTACCACAGGTCCTTGAGGTACATCGCTGGCCCTGCTATTCTCCCGGTGAAAGTTATAATTTGCTCCAGATGCTTTGGCCACTTTCTGCATGATGGATTCAGGCTCCACGTCATCTTCAGCACGAGCATTTACTGTTACATGAGCACCCTGGTGGGTTAAGAATAAATATTGAGATAGCTGAGGGGATAAGAATTCCTCATGGTTGGGTCACATAAATGCCACAAAAATTACTGTTTTACCACAAATATTGTTTCTCTTCCCAGTATTACTAGTCAAAATTCCCAAATCTCTTATCAAAATTTAAACCCTTAATCAAAGCACACATAAGGAAGCGGAAAACTCCAAAGGTGTCGCTGGCTAGCATTTGCTTGGGGATGGGGGAGGGAGGATTGGGGGTACCGTGTATTGCCAAATATGTGGCCACCACATTAGCACAAACTGCAAGGCTATTGACAACAAAGCAGGCTCCTCTTTGGCTTGCCTTAGAGCAAGCGATTAGCGCACCCCACTAAACGTTGGAACTATTATGGGTCCCAATACAGAGGCACCCACGGAAGTTAAGGTTACTTTCTACAACAAAACTATCCTTATTAACATGGTGAAGATGGGCCCCGGTATGGTGACCAAGACACAGAGTGCCTATGCTACGCAGTTTGGCACACCGCATGCAGGACCTACCACTGAGCGACTGGACGCAATGGGGTATCACGAAAGTGACACATTTACTGGGAGAGGGAGGAATCCAGGAGTTCCCCGATTTACAACAGACCTTTGCTTTGCCCAGAAGAGAACTTTTCACATATATGCATATCAAACATATTATAGAGAAGGATAAGCTGAACTCACTAGACTCCCAAGAACTGTGTACGATTGATAAACTGTGTTTGGGTATCCCAGGCCACCCTAAGCCATTATTTCTGTGTTATAAACGCCTATTGGTAACAGGCAGACCATCTAAGCCAAGATATATCAAACAATGGGAAAAGGAATTTAACTGTAGTATGAAGCTGAGCAGTTGGCATACCGCAATGGCAGGAGTGAAGAGAGCCACTCACTGTTTGGACCATATAGAGGCAGCTTACAAGTTATGCATGCGGTGGTACCTCACCCTCCAACAATACAAAAACAGATACCAAATCTAGTTGAGATCAGCACAGACAGGACTCTACCCTCCACGCCAGAGTCTTACCTATTACACATGTTACTCAACACGTTTCCCAAACATGCTGCGGCTTTGGCTATACACATAACGCTGGCGGCAAAAACCTCGCTGGCTGTGCTGTGGAAATCCACAAAACGACCAGAATGGACGATGGTCATTGACAAAATAAATTGCACTAGGTCATACGAAGACATGCCACACAGGTTAGCAGGCACCATGGAGACTTACGATCTTATATGGTCCAGATGGCACAGTTTGCTATGAACTGATATCTCTCCCTCACTTCTATCGACCCCCCCCCAAAACAAATGGAAAAAAATAAAAATTTTAAATGGTGATTGACCAAGATGGATGCCAGCTCCTCGGCGCCTTAGTTAAAGTCGGAGCTGTATCTAGAGTTGGTCTGGTAAGCTCTGCATTCTGCATCACTTACCTAGGACGAGAGCATGTCCCATATAAGAGTGACATGTTTTTCTGTTTAGTTTATTAATTGATGTAATTTTGATCTAATTTAACTTATCTTTGTATGTGCAAATAAAACCAAGGTCGCTTAAAATCTGGATGCTTGTCATTAGGGTGTTATATAGCTGACGACCAGGAAACGCACCGACAACGGAAAGAGTAATTTCTCATGTAGCGAGGGCCCGATATTGTTGCAGTTAACAATCAAGACATGTTTATGTTATGTGACTTTGTAACTTTTCTCTTCTGTATTAATCGGATGTCAAGTTTTTGCACTTCTGTACTTCCATGACCTTGCAAGAACAATAAAAATGTAATATTTAAAAAAAAAATAATAATTTTTTAAATTATAATAATTTTTTTTTTTATATCTATATCTCTATATATATCTCTCTCTCTCTCTATATATATATATATATATATATATATATATATATATATATATATATATATATATATATATATATATATATATATATATATATCTCTATAACTATCTCGAGGAATATGTGTAAAAAAAAAAAAAAAAAGTGTCACAAGAGAAGCAATGATATATATGTTATGTAATGTCAAAATAAAGATGAGTGCTAAGTGTCCTTCTACCGGTCATCATGCAAAGTGGAGAAACCCAGTCACGGTATAATGAGCTTTCATTTTAGGGTGAAAAATAACCTAAGGAACTATGAAGTAACAGACATTCAAAATGACGTAGAGAACTAGAACGCAAAAACGTTTGGGCTCTGCGGTGTAAGGAACAATTTTTATCACAAAGAGAAGTCTTTATAAATTACAAATAAATGGTCCCCTTTCCACCAGAAAATACGTTTTGGAGAGGCTTTCGGCTAGAAGTGGTTATAGCCCTCCTCAGCTTTGGATAATACAAATAAGTGAGAACTGTGCTGAATGAAATAAAATACTAGATGTATAAAAACAATAGGCAAGATACCCTCTTTAACACAAAGTGGTGCTCAGAACACATTAAATAGCCGTTATCAGTTCAAAATGAGACATTGAATCAACAATTATTTCTTTGTACGTAATGATTTCAATTATTCAGCTGGAAAACTGTTTTGCCCACATAAATATGCCATGAAGCAATATTAAAATGTAATATTAAAGTCTTTTTGGGGATTGGTTTGAAAACCACAATCTCATCCGCAGCCTTTGCAAGCCTCCAATTCTTCCCCAGCTCAGATTTTCTGTTTCTCTCCAATTTGAGATTTTCCAATGTAGCTCAATGAGAAGTCTTTGCAAATCATGATCTCTGTGCAATTGCCTGACTATTAAATTTAGTTCCACTGAGCTCAATAAATACCAATAACATGGCTTGTTGTCTGATTGACAGCCAGGGGAGGGGAGGGTTGTAACAACGTGCCAATTTCTATTAAAATCTGCACTTGTTGTAAAATCCAAAGAGGATTCACTCTTCACACAAAGCATTTCAGCAAGTTAAAGAGCTTTAGATGACTGGAGTGTCGTTTTAACCCCATAGCTAAATAAATACCGATAACATGGCCTGTTGTCTGATTGACAGCCAGGGGAGGGGAGGGTTGTAACAAAGTGCCAATTTCTATTAAAATCTACACTTGTTGTAAAATGCAAAAAGAGGATTCACTCTTCACAAAGCATTTCAACAAGTTAAAGAGCTTTAAATGACTGGAGTGTCGCTTAAACCCCTTAAGGACCAAACATCTGTAATAAAAGGGAAACATGAAATGTCACGTGTCCTTAAGGGGTTAAGTAAAGGTCCTTGTGGCACGATAAGGATTTGGACTGCACTGCTGAATGCTGGATATCCTGTTTATCCAACACATATATTAGAAGCTGTCAGAGTGGGAAAGGGATCCATCTCCCCATGCCCTCCAATGAAATGCTTTCAGAGGGGGAAAATGTCTAACTTTTTATTCTTACTAAATATTATAAAAAGTTCCCCACATATAAGAGGACACTCCTTTGTATTATAAGGGGGCCCCCCTCTTCCCCATGAGCCTGCTGTTGACAAAACTTACTGAAAGCAGCTGTTACAGCCTTACAGCTTTACCTCACAAAGGAGGTAATTAAAATAGAGTAGCACAGATAATAAAGATCCTCTAATCTCCCCACTCCACTGCTGGGCATTTATACTAGGTGTACCTCGTAACCCAATTCACACAGGATGAATTTTCGGTTCCCAACATAAGTGTAAGAGTATATATGAGTGCGCCCTATCACAGGTTTACAAGCATTCATGTATATATGTATTTAAATGAAAACTACAGAAAAGACCTGCAACAAATAAAATGCGGTTATTGCGACAAGCAAATATGAGACACAGAAAGGTAGGAAAGTCAGAAATCGCAGCCATCAAGTCGGAAAAGAATGAAGTTTTGCGTTGCATCACCTAGGAGAATAGTAAGGGTTCTTGTACCTTTAGGAAGTTTGCCATTGTACTGACATGGTTGGCACACACTCCTTTTCGGGCATCATTCACCCCCTCACCTGTCTAAAAGAGAGAAAAACAATGACTTAATAAGATCTCACACCAAGTACACATGATATGGGGGTTGGCCAAGCTTAATCATCCAGCAGATGACAAAGTATGCTGTGAATTCTTGACTTGTGACTAACATTGAAAATTATAGACTGTAAAAACTTACCCAGTTAATGAGGACATATTTAGGAAGCCCAGAATTTGGGTCTGTAACCCTGCAGAAGGCATACATTACTTTCCCACTGCTTAACTCGTCCACTAGTTCCTCAAGACCACCATCTGTTGGGCAAAGAAGGAAGTTACAGACAAAAAACAGTCAAAAAAAAAAAACCCTAATGAGTATAATCAGTCCCTGCAGGCTTTTTGTAGTAAACACTGTTTTTTTTTTTTTTTAGAGAAGGCGGTGTTTACATTACAGCCTAGGGATACCTCCACTGGCCACTCCTCAGATGGCTGCTAGAAGTGCTTCCTGGGGCAGTGCTGCACATTTCAGTGTCTCCACTCTCTGCATGGAGACACTGAACTTTCCTCATAGAGATTCATTGATTCAATGCTTCTCTATGAGGAGATGTGGATTGGCCAGGGCGTGTGTTGGCTCTGTCCCTGATCTGCCTCCTTGAAACTCTCCTATGGGAGAGCACTGTCATTGGCTGACAATGTCAGATGTCTGATAATGTCAGCCAAGCAGACAGATCCAGGGCAGAGCCAGCAGCAGCAGACTGGCATAAAGGTAAGATTTTACTATATTTAGGGAGGCGTGGGGCAGAGGGGAAAGTGGAGCTAGATAGTGATTTAAACACTATAGGGTCAGGATAACATGTTTTTGTTCCTGACCCTTTTAAGACACTCAGTGACAGATCTTGTTACAAAGTTCTTGCTTAATAAAATATCCAATTTCCAGTATAACAATAAAATTTAGACAAAATATCTAATATAATGTCATGCACAAACCTCCAGTCCCAGCCAGCCTGACATCATTACTGTTTCCCTCATAGGTAAAGAGAGCCCTGTAATAAAAGAAAATTAGGGATTAGCAGAACAATTAAAAAAAAAAACAGTTTGCTTTATAGTTTCTGGTGCTCAGGGACGTCAACAGAGAGAATCTCTTTCAGTCAGTGTTAGAGTAAGGCAAGGGATGCTGTTTTACTGTTAGGAATAATTTAGAGTTAAGGTTACAATAGGTGTACAGTTAAAGCTAGTGTAAGCATACAGTTGGTAAAGGGTTAGTGTTAACTACCAAAACTTAATGTAGATCCTTGACATATGAGGCATTTAAAAATTATGAACAAAAGAAGGAAACAGCGCTGAAATAAACCAATACTAAGATAGGTAATGTATGAGGCAGCAACCTAAAAATAGGGTTCCCTCTAAGCCCTATAGACAAAGGTAATACACAAGACACAATTGAAAAAAAGGCTTTTTTTGTCTCCACTTGAAAAAGCCTTCATAGGTGAAATGCGTTGTGGACATTTTAATATTTTATTCTGTATTCCAAATAAAGGTATTTTGGCTACTTTTAACTCATTTTGATTGTTCCATTTTACTCTTTTATTCATTATTTTTATTTTTGCTTGGTATCCTGATTTTATTCCTCCCGCTGAGTATTACTCCAAAGACATCCGAGGTGGGGATTATACCACTTACGCCTAAGTCATCAAGCAGTCTGCCTGCTCAATCCTATGTGAGCACACATTTAATTTATACTCCTTATATACCACTTTTAAATAGTGAGCACTATTAGTTGTCTCTTCTCTTTCATGATCTACATATCGAAACAAGACTCAACCCTCTATACGTATCCTACAAGCGGGGATTATACCGCTGTACGCCATTCACACTAGAGCTGGTTTGAGCTCTACTTCAGATGAGTAGGACTATAGTAGACTCTGTTGTCGTATATACCACATTTACCAGACGTATTGCCCTATCATCTGTCTTCTTTTCCCCACATACGGATTTAAAGACCAATACCTCCCTACGTATCCTACAAGCGGGGATTGTAGCGCTGTATGCCATCCACACTAGAGCTAGTTTAGCTCTACTACACGTGAGTAGGATTACTATAGATCTCTTCTTCCTGCAATTGAACACTTTGTATCAGACGTATTTGCACTATTATCTCTTTCTCTCTTTACATACAGATCCTAAAAACCGTCTTCGTTTGACCCATAGAGAGAATATTCCTCTACAAAAGCTGTCGGTGCCCCATCAGGCCCAACTTAACACTTTGCTTTGGCACTACTTATTCTCTGAACTTTGTTTATTTTAGTAGTACCATAGCCAGCTTTGGCGCATCCTTTTTCAATTGTGTCTTGTGTATTTAAAAATGACTGATAGTTGAAGCTATGTAATTTTTTTTATTTTACTCCTATTTAATATAGTGTTAGGTATACATGTAGAATAAAAGAAAGTAATATTTGTTCTTTAAGAAACAATATATGTGGTGCGGAACCAACAGTTGAGGTGGACGGACGCACTTTCTGCTAGCTATGATCCTATACCGCTAAAACACATTATTAATAAGTGCCGACCTCACTAGTTGTACTTACCCTGCTAATGGTTCTATGTCAGAAAAGTAATTAGCAGCAGGCAGAGAAACCATTTGGAACCTTGCATATTGCGAACTTGTGCTCAAGGGCACGACAGGAGCATCCTTTCAAGATGGCGTCAGAGATGGACAAACTTACCTCCTCATCTGGACACCAGTCTCTTGACACTGTGGAGGACCAGCCAGGCTGTCCAATTTTCTCAAAATCCCCTCTTGTGGCTTCCAAAGGTGTAGGGGATTTACATACCCTTCTTGAGAACATCTGACTAATCATAGCCTTGTATATCTTATTCCAGAAGGACTTAATTCTCAAGTATCAAACCTTGATAGGGAGACTTTCACCTGAGCAGTGTGGGTGAAGACAATAGATCATATTTTAATTCACTTTAAGTGATCGCTCTGTCCGTTGACCCAGGTCCTGCAATCCCGAGATATATCATATTGCTGGGTTCACAGATATCCCTAGTGGATACCAAATTATGAAAAGAACCACCAATAACATAATTTAGATAAAGAAAGAGTATGTTTCAACCTATATTTAGGACAGATTCACAGCAAAATGAAATATAATGGTGTTAACAGCTCATTTGCTGGTAACTGATGTATGGGGGACTTTCCTTCACAGACTTGAAATTCCATCTGAATTTATGTCTTTATATGTCTCAAGAATCAGATCTTTTGTACCTGTGGAAGCTCAACATTTACCAAGCAAGTACTCCTAACTCAAAGTTGTCCATGTATGTCTGCCATTCTGGTTTTATTCTTGCTTTTCTGTTAACCCTTGCACATTAGGATTATTTTCCCGCTGATATTGAGGAGGAATTTGTATTAAAGTGGCTTTGTCACTGTCCACCACTGCCATCTTCATCCGTTCAGTCTCCATCTTCTTCCACTCCATCTGCCAGGACCTGACATGAGAAGCATTTGATTGGACCATGGAGAGAGAAGTGGTGCAGAGCGATATTGGACAGGGCGTGGAAGTACCTTGCTCAGTGCTGGATTGTTGGTATTTATATTCTTTATTTTCAGAGTATCTTAAGTTGAAGGGGGTAAACAACTAATGTCCAATAAGGAATTATAAAATAATGTTAAGATATAAAAGAGATGGAGTAACTCTTTAAACCTGAACCAAAAAACATGGCCTGCACACAAACAGAACATTCTAGATGCTTAACAATTATAAAGTGAAAATTGCAACTGCTACAATAAAAAGGCAAACAAGAAATAAAGATTTGCCGTCCTTTTTACAGACTAACATTATTTGTGTGCAACATCTAAAAAGGTTAAAATGGGTTTCCCACAAACACATGCCTTGCTCAAACCCTCACTTCCTCATAATGCACATAGAAAAAAAACCACTTCCTCCTCTGTTACAGAATATATTACATATATCACTGTGAATTCAGGTCAGAACAACGCGTACTACCTACTAAGGTGCACAGCACTACCCAGAATCTCCTGGCACAAAAACACACTATGACTATCCAGCTCATCAGTCTCTTGAACCTACTTGAGGGGTTGATAGGTTTTTGATATGAGGGCTACTAACCATCACCTTTAAGTTGCAAACACATAGGAGGAGGTCTACTCACTAAACCCGAATTTGATGCCGTAAATGCAGTTACCTTTATTCATCAAATTTCTCTAAAAATGGTTCCTTACTATTTTCAAATGAGAATTTTTGCTACAGTAAGATTATTCTAAAAATGTTTCCAGCAAAAAAAAAAAAAGTGGTAAGAGTAAGCTTTTGGGGACTCTTACAGGGCAAGTGGAGGTTGCTTTGAGTTATGCGTGCAATAATTCCCCTGGTCTGTTTATCTTCGAGAACTTTATCAGGGGAATTGGATCAAACTAACTAGGGAGATAAGGTAGCAACTCATTAGTAAACTACATTAGTAAATTTCTGTAGAGATCTAGCTGATTTTAACTGCCTTCCAAAAGGAAGCGCACATATAGCCAAAACAACAAAGTTATAAAAAGTCAAATGGAATTTACATTGAAAGCTTTCAGCTGAAAAGAAGCCAAATTTGGATAAAAAAAAAAAAAAAAGACTGCTTACAGAGTTGACTTTATAATGTGCTACTGCAATGCTTCTTGAATCTGAAGCATGTCTATTTTTATATGTGGCCTCTTTTACTAGGAAAACAAAGAAAACCTATTATTAGGAGAAGAACTCTGTCAGATGACATAACACACTATAATTCTAATATGTAATTAAAAAGATGGCACGCCCTGCTTGGGGCTTTTAGGATGGAATTATAAATCATAACAATCTGCAAGCATTTTTTTCAGTTCTGATGTGATTGGTAACTACCATTCCCATAATGCCCAACCAGTGCTTGGCATAGAAACCATGGTAAATAAAATTTTAAAATCTCTGGCATATATGACTAGGGGGAGGTCAGTCCAGCAATAATTTTAAAAGGGAACGGTCATTTTCTTTTATACTGTATTATCTTTCCATATCCCTATATTTAACATATATATATTTGTGAGGTGTGAATAATAAAATTAAATATAGAAATCTCTGCCTCTTTAACCTGCAACTGGGCGCCTCCATCTTAGCTCCCTGTCAATCATTGTTATAAATTCTGATCTCATCTTCATTAGCAGTGTTTACCCTGTCTGAACTAGATTACGATGTAATTTGCTTACTCTTTAATATGGATTATAAAATAAAAGTATCTCGTGAAAGAAAAACAAAAATTGCTAAAACAAGTTATAAATTATTTTCAAAGTTTTCTTTAATTGCCTAAATTCCAGAGAAGGGACTTTTTTATTAAAGTGAAATATTTTGTTACCAAATTATGAAGAGAACCACCAATTACATAATTTAGATAAAGAAAGAGTCTGTTTCAACCTATATTTGGGACAGATTCACAGCGAAATGAAATAAAACCGTGATCTGTTGGGAAATTGGCCACAGAATTTGGAGTTTTAAATGTAGCTTATCTGAGCATATTTCCAGTTTAGCAATTTAGGCTTCCTGGTGACTTCCAGGGAATTCAGGTTTAGTCAATAACAATGTTAGTCTGAATACTTAGATCTTTTTCTTGTAAATATAGCCTTCTGCTGCTCACATTTCATGATACCATTTACAGAGCATCGTTCTACTCTATGAATCGCAACTCCATCAGTTGTAATTAATGGGGAAAAAAATTGTATATGTACTAATCCCAGACTTTCCCTTATATCACATTATACAATGTAACTGTGACATTTACATAGAATAAGCTTTATGTTCCTCACTTTCTAGTGAGCATTGTTCTCTAGACAGAACGTCCAGAAGTGAATGTTTCAGAATCTGCCCAGCAGATACATTCTATCTATACAATATCCTCCCCATAGCTATACCCAGGTCTTTCTCCATCACAAGCTGCACACAATACCCAGACATGTTCTGCCAGGAACTTCACATATCTTATATATATATATACCCAGATCTTTCACACAATACTATAAATAATGTCCTCTAGACTAGAAAAGCTAGCTCTGTGACCCTGAAATAAACAGATCTTTCTATATCTGATGTTGTAACACTACTCCCTCTAGATACCTCACTTCATTCTAGTTATACAATGACAATCTCACAATGCATTAAATATCCAGATATTCCTTCATTCCACACAATATGCAGCCTGGCACTACATGACAGGCAGGCAGGAAGGAAGAGGAGGAGGGGGGGGGGGTTAGGTTAACTGTGGGGGTTACCTGCATATACTCACCAGTCAGTCTTGCTTTTCCCATCCACCACATCTTTGTAGGCAGCCTGCAGGGCGGCGCCATTTTTGCTGAGGTTGACAGACATGGTGTTCGGGTAGTGCTGGTTCTCCCTGTCCCTCCGGTGCTGTCCCTGCACTGGCAGTGTGTGCACTTCCTCTCCTGTCCCTCCCAACAGCTCACACACCGCACCTCAACTTCCTTGTTCGGCAGCCACAAGTCTCCTCGGGCAGCGCCACCTGCTGGCGGCATTCAGTATCACATATTTGTGCTATGTAACAAAGTCATTAGGGCTACTCCACTACTCCAGTGCTAAGGGTCAGCTATCACTGCCCTAGTAAAATGGCATCTAATTAAATATACCCACTATTATTGTACCGTGTGAGATACATTTTTTTTTCCCCTAGGAGCCGGGAATGAATGATATGCTTGATTCAATTAGCAGTAATAATACTGGCAACATTGAATTGTGTAAGTAAATTAGTTTTTTTAAAAACTTTTCCATTAAACAGCCATTTAAAGCAATGTGAACACTATTAAGACCTGCCAACTTTGGAAGATCTGATATCTTTGGGTTGGACGGGCAAGGTGTAGCTGGCACAGGGCATGTCGTGGTACAGGTGACATCTAGATTACTAGGCTTGACATAGCCAACATGTTTTCCTGGACACATAATTTCATCCTTAAGATTCGCAGCACAGTAAAATACTATCCTGTAGTATGTAGAATGTATATGCTGCAGGATTCCTGAATTATTTATCTCCTGATTTACTACTTGCAGTATTTGACTTGTACATACTACAGGAGAGCACTTTACATATATCGCCCATCAATCTGTGTGATGTGTCCTGGAAATCATGGTGGATATGCCATGCCTACAGACAACGTATCCAGCCTTTAAGAAGGTGTGTCTTTGCAGTGTGCATGCGCCTCAGGTTAATAGGCTTGACAGGGCTTCCCATATGACAAGAGCTTCTGCAGAACACGTGTACATAGTTAAATGTCAAACAATTAAAAGTGCAAAACAAGCATGGATAATCACATGCTTATGTTACACTTTCCCCAGAGACAGCTCTAGGCCTTAGGCGAAACTGGAACATAAGGCCCCGATTGACATCCATAAGGGGCCAGATTGGCCCACCGGGATACCGGGAAATTTCCCTGTTAGCCGCGGCACCTGGGGGCTGTGCATGTAGGTGCCACAGGGTGGCCGGTCCGGTGGCACACTCTGAGTGGGCCAGACGTGTTCCACACTGGTGCCGCCGGGCTGGGTATGATGTGGCTGTGCTGGGAATTGTGGGAACCGTGAGGGAGCATGATAGAGAGACATGCTCCCTCCTTCAGTCCTCCTATGCTGACAGCTCACTGCTGTCAGCATTAGCGAGTATGCCGCCGGACCAGCTAGGCGGCCACTAGGCCCGGCGGCACCAGTGTGGAACGCGGCCGGCCCCCTCTGACTTCTTTTGGTAAATGGGAGAGGGAAGAAAGAGACAGAGAGGGGGAATAGAGAGACACGAGGGGAGAAAGAGACAGAGAGGGGGAATAGAGAGATACAGGGGAAGAGGGAAGGAAGAAACAGTGGGAGAATAGAGAGAGACACGGGGGGAGGAGAAGTGACAGACGGGGGAGAGTGAGACACAGGGGTAGAAAGAGGGGGAATAGAGAGATGGTGGTAAGGGGAGAAAGAGACAGAGGGGAAGAGAGATGTGTGGGAGAGAGATACACAGGGAAAGGGGGGAGAAAGAGATGAAGGGAAAGAGAGACACACACGGGGAGGGGTAAAAAAGAGAGAGACACAGGGGAGGGGGTAGAATGAAACAGGGGAAGGAGAGAGACACAGGGGAGGGAAAAAGAGACAGAGGGGGAAAAGAGACTGGGAAGGAGAGGGGAGACATGGACATAGAGAAGCAGTGAGGGGGAGAAAGAAACATACAGAGGGACTGGAGGGAGACAAAGAGGCACACAGAGGGGCTGGACGTAGAAAGAGACACACATAGGGGCTATATATGTGTATATATATATATATATATAACATATATATTAATGTGTGTATTAGTTATGTATACAATTATGCATATAATATTTACACCTATATTAATGTACATTTATATATCCATAATACACAAAGAAATGTCATTAATATGTAACATATGTAATGAGCAGATATTTGCCCAGTCTTGTTGCTAGGTGCATACTCCAGCACAATAACATATTTAAAGTGAAGAGCGCACCCACAGGACTTCAAAATAAACAAGATAACATCAATTTTTTTACAGTTGTTCACTACATACATTCACCATTTCAGTTTCATTACCAAACTTTCCTTAATATGTCAAGGTAGTTGGACTGAAACATTGATTACATGCAAAGGCACGTCTGCTTGAAATAAAGCTGCACTTTTGTTTATTTTGAAGACAATGAGTGCTTTTTTCACGTTGAAGTAATAATTTTTAATTTTAAGTTATCTTTTCAAACTCTGTATCAGCACACTATGCTGGAGTGATGCATTATTGGGCTGGTAAAGAATTTTGTTTCCAGGGCTGCTTTTCGTTCCCAGTCCGGCCCTGCATCCATAACAAACAAAAAAAATATAAGCAATATTAAAATTAACTGGCCAGGACCCCTGGTGTCTAGCAGGCAGGACTCATTTCTGATTCCCCTCTGCATGTGGCACAGTTTCCAGCAAGTGGGTGCTGACTGCTTTGACTCGCAGTCCAACCTGCAGGGCTGCCATCATAACAGTTATGGCACATTACAAACACAGTCACTAAGTCCCCACCAACACTAACCCACACATATAGGTAGGGCTGTAGTTTTTTCATTGCCCAAACCACGGTCATACATTCTTTCTTAATGGCCACATAACTGACTTCCTCAGGCAAAATCTTGTGGCTGATATATGCCACCAGGAGCTCATCTCCATTCTCCCCAACCTGACTAAGTCAGCAAGGCCCCTAATCCAAACTTCAAAGGGTCTGTATAAGCAAGAACTTTTTTAGTTAAATCCAGAGCTGCCAGCATCGAGGCATTTGTCAGGGCTGCCTTAAGTTTGTTGAACATTGTCTCACACTCTGGAGACCACAGGACCTGTCTGGGGAGGTTCTTACGGGTTAAGTCTGTCAGTGGTTTTGCTATGGTGCTATATTTGGGCACAAACTGTCTGTAGTAGCCATCTTTGCCCAGGAATGTAATCACTTGCGTCTTGGTACAGGATAGGCAAGTTGGCTACAGTCTCTGTCTTAGCTGGTTCAGGCCGTTGTCTCCTGCACCCCACCCGGTGTCGTTAAGTCATCAATAATTAACACAGAAACAGGGGAGGCCCAGGGGCTGTCTGACTCCTTTATGACCTCTAACTGGAGCATCTCTTGGATCTCGTTCCTCAGGAGATCTCCAGTTGGTGCAATTCTAGGTTTATGTACTCTGGTCTATTATACAATGGATATCCCACCCTGATGCCTCTGAATCTGGGAGACAACTAGATCAGTATCCGTTAATTATCCCCCAGACATCAGGGCGCCATTTCAATATACCTTTAAATATAGGAGATGCCACAAATTACCCCCACATGTTTTATATGAACGGATAGCTTTCCCTCTCTTCTCCCTTCAGTCAAAAGAGCGCTCTTACAACTAGAAACTTAAACTTAAAGCACTAAATACATGATAATGCACACATAGCATCGACAAATACAGGCGTTCACCATAATAAACACCACTACCTGAACAATTGTATACTGAAATCATTTATTTATAAAGCACTGTTAGGCAGCTCCCTTTGGAAAGAATAACCTGAAAAAAATTAAAGATGAATCTTTGAAATAAAAAATTAAATATATGGAAAAAAAAAGAGCGCTCTTGTCGCACTCACTGTGTTGAGTCGCCTCCCGGTTACATTCTTAACCGTGTGACCACTAAGAGATTTGCAGCTTTCCCTGAGAGGCTCGGTCACCAGATGGGTTGGAGTAAAAATCTCTTTGGAGCTCTGCCTTGTAAAGGACAGAGGGAAAACCAGAGAGTGTAAATTTAGCTCTTACAGAAAAAATTGGTGTGAATGTTTCTGCATAGTGGCAGAACTACGGTTCTGTCACATGGCCAAAGCAAATGAACCAAAATATGGCTAACCTTTTTTTTTTAATCTTTATTTTGATAGTGCAAGGAATAACATGCTGGCTTGTGGTGCCACGACAGCATTGACAAGCATATTAAAATAAAAGGTAGATATAGTGTTATGGCATATGAAGCGGTACGGAATCTGATGGCGCTATATAAATAATAAAATTATAATAATAATGAAGAACTGCACATTTTTATGTTTTAAGAACAGGCTAAGGAATATGGTGATACACATGAACAAATACTATGAACATATGTACATAGGCATATGCAAGAATCACTATTAGTAAATATAATAAAACAGGCTGGAAAAAAGCTATTACGAACCTCTGGAGTTAAACTAACTCAGTTGCTGTCATATAGGTTGGGTAGGATGCTCTGTAACCCAGAGCTTGGGGATGGAGGGGATGTAGTTTGTCAGGAGTAATTAGGTCTAGTAGTTGGGCAGTACAGTGGTTGTGTTATACTATCTCCCCTCTACCATGGGGCGCTCTTTCCAATGGCTTTCTCAGAGAGACAATTCAGTTTTCATGTAAGAAATAAAGATAAAGATAAAGAAAAATTAATTAAAGTATAGTAAGAATCTGCTAACAATATATCCCTTTAAGGGGTAATAGTGGATTAATGGTTTTAACGTGGTTTGGAGTTGGTGTGGGGGTAGGATGTAGGTGTGTCTATGCCCTCCCCTGGTGATAGATAGGAACGTCTGGGGTCAATGTATAGTTTAATGCTATATGGTGCTTAATGCTTAACTCACTAACAACATACACTTCAAACATTTTTCCTGATCACGGTGGATAAAGATAAGGAGAACAATCCTGACGGCCAGGGTTGTATGAGACCCTGTCAGTTCCTCAGGTGCCCAGCTTGCGCTGCTCCTTCTTCCGTGGGCTTGTGGTGGTTGAATTTGCTGGACAGGGGCCCAGGCCCGCATTGTTATTGGAAGGTTTTAAGGCCACAATTCTAGACATGTCCC